TGTGTGTGTGTGTGTGTGTGTGTGTGTGTGTGTGTGTGACCTGTAAAGGTAAATTTGAAAGCACTGAGAGAGCTGTAAGCATTCTGACAAAGACTTTCAATCACCACTCCACTACAAGTGTAGGAGGCTTCATATGTGCAACTTCTGAAGGTAGCTGAGCGAGCCTTTTGAATGTGGTATTTTAAGAGCCGCAGTGTTATTTTTGAAGAATAGTATGTTGAAGAGACGTCAGAAAAACGACACAGGCCTTCAAAGTATTGTATGATGGATATAAATTAACAGAAGACTTGGGATTCCCAGACATGCTTATGATGATTTTTTTTCCAAAATAGCTTTCACATGTGTGTCATGCCAGACTGAAAATGTTAGGACTGTGGATTTTAAAGCTAGTGCTGCATTTGTATTGATATGGTCTAAAGGCGTATTGTACAAAATTTGGTGGATGAAATAAAAATAAATAAATAGTTGAAAAGACAGCAGAGTGAATGGATTAATGAGCATAAAACTGATGTAAATCACATTCAGTGGAGACTCAAACAATGAGTTAAACTGTTTCAAAGTTATTCGACTAAATTTTACAGCTACAAATTACAAAGATGAATTTATGTTAGCCCCGTGAATAATTGCCAGAGAATCCTAGTTTTTTTTTTGTTTTTTTAATTTGGGGATTTTATTGAACCTTTTGACAACTTAAAAAACAAATTAAACATTAATTTGCATATATGAATTTAAGTGTATTATTTTGCTATATCTGGCATTTTTGTCTAAATTATTGCTTAAAATTTTCGGTCTTTCAGGAAACAAAATACTGATGAGGTCTTAAAAGAATCACAAAAATTATGCATCGAGTATAACACAGTTGGCATTACAGGGTTAAAGAATGAATCTCAATGAATTATTATTAAAAGACTGTTGCAACCATTATGTTATGTCAATACAGGAAAAAATATTAACATTAAAGTAATATGTAATTTAAAATGTGAAAATTATATTTACCATTTCTTTGCAGTGTTGCTATATCTGTTATTGTGTTAATTATGTACCTGAATTGTTAAGAAAAACAAAAGCACACAGCTGCAAAAGCAAACAGCCGTGCTTTTGCAGCTAATATAATATAATATAGACAATATTTGTGTTTTAATACATATAAGCTGTAGAAATGTAATAACAGCAGGTAATATCCCAGCATCACCTGCTTCTGTGCCACTGCTTGTGTGTTTGGGTCATCCACCGGGGCACTGGCACCTGTCTGAGGGTGGAGCCTGAGTGCAATTTTACCCCCAGTCCAAGATTTCACAAATGACCCATCTTGGTAAGTGTTGGCTTTTTGTTTTATCCAGATGTTAAATGGAAGAAACTAGAAGATGTTATATTTCAAGTGAAGTCATACACTGATTTTGGCATTACAAAACATTTTCCCTAACCTTGGATGGATCACCAGTGACCTGGTTAATGTTAAGGGGTTAATATCTGGGAAATACACTGGAGCTTACATAGTGTTTTTCTACTCTGCAGACTAACTGCAGACTGAAAGCACCTTTTAATAAAAGCCAGTTTTCAGTTTCATTTTGTTAATAAATTCTTAGATTATGTTGTAAGTGCGTTCTCGTGCTTTTTATGGTAGTACTAGTATGCTTTTTATATGGAATTTGTAGACCATTTGCTTAGCAAAAAACACTTGTCGTAATCAAATGTAGCCTTGAGCCCTCTCTGTAGCTCGGTCACATATTGTTAGAAAAAAATGCCAGAAAAGAGGGAGATAAACAAATCTAGCCACTCTTCATATTAAGGTTGCTTCCAGCATAAATACAATGACATAATGAATGACAATATCAACTTAAAACTGATATTTTTAAGTGTCTTTCTTTGAATCTACTAAAATAGTGGCACCTAACGGGTAGCTTTAGGAAAAAGCAGGTCATCTACTAATTGGAGGGTCGATCCCTCACTGCTCCAGTCTGCATTCCAAATATCTTTGGGCAAGACACTGAGTGTGTCTGAGTGTGTGATGGTGTGTCGATTGTTCTCTGATGCATCTGTTGGAGTATGAATGTGTTAATGTGGAAAAAGCAAAGATAAAAGAGAATGAGGGAAGTTGCAGAGAGTGCTGAGGAAGAGTAGGAAAGCGCTGTATAAAAACCAGCCCATTTAAAGCTTCAGTGCAGGCTCTGTGATTAAGATGTCTGAGAGAATTAATTTCTGTAATATTGGCTATCTTTAGGTCCTGCACGAAACCTTTCTTGGAGTCGTAATATTTCTAAAAAAGAGGCCAGACCTGCCCTGCAGTGCTATCAACTGTTTTAATTATCTGTCTGAAAACAAA